TTATTAATCCCAGAGGGAAATTAGAGTTTCAGTACACACAATTCTGAGATCAGACATACATACACAGACACATGACAAGAATTGGTGACTGTGGTCATTCGAAACCCGAGTTGCGGCACCGTAATAGATCAAGAGCGTTTATATGAGGATAGAGTCAGGGGGAGGGGAAAAAAAGCACTTCAGAGTTACCCTCCACAGAGAGGGCAGCTTTGCTATGCATCACAACACCTCAGACAGATATGCACACAAACTTCAGACATTAAACAACATGAGTGTCCACTAGGTGGGGAGGTAGGGTTGGGACCCTCCTCACTTCAGTGTGTGCAGCCGCATGGGGCAGCACTCATCACCTCCGTTTGGACAGGGGAGGGAGATAATGGGTTAGAGAGCACAGTGACTCCTAGATACGTTTCCTTGGCCTTCACAGGTCACAGTCCCGCCCAGGCTGGGATAGGGAGAAAGAGTTTCCATAGCGATGACCGCATTCCACATTTCTTCTGAGGGGGGAGTTATCACTTCAGCCTCACAGGCTCCAAGGGCAGATTCAGATAAAAATTGTTTTGGGGACAGAGAAAATTTCCTCTCTGCCTTAGTGTTCTGTTGGTCTACAACCCCTCTAGATCCAATAATCGCGTAATTAATCAATCCCAATTCGTGCTGATCTGTCCACTCGCTCCTTGATGGTATCCACCCTTTGTGCCAGAGCCCGAATCTCAGCCAAAGTTCCAAGCTTACGACTCATCTTGACAGTTATGAGTTTGTGCGTTCACAGCACGATGCATTCATCCCAGAGCTCCGGGATTGAGCCAATATTCGTCGAACGCTCGTTCATTTTCCGGTAAGCCAGGTAACCACTCAGGCCTAACAGCAGGAATCCCGACACCAAAACGACAAATATCCAGACGTCTTCAGAATCCTCTACAGACAATTGAGAGAGGCAGATCAGGTTCCACTGTTTCCAGGAGTCCATGATATTCCCAGCTGACTCAGTCCCAGAGGGGCATCCGGGAGCCCCTTCTCCCATTCTCATCGTTGAAAATTTTTTGTTAATCGCGTTGAGAGACCAACTGACCAGATCCATTTTTAATAATTTCCAGTTTCCAGAAAAAATGCAGAAAGCGCCATGCACAGACAGGACAAAGAGCCTTGGGATAAGGAGGGAGGGAGAGGAGAAAAAAGCGTCTGTACTCTCCAAGAGCCGGAAGAAGTTCTGTTAGCTGCAGGACCCTTCTCTGTCTGATCCTTTGTCTTTATGCCTCAAAACAAATGGAAGAAAAGATTCTTTCCTGTTGTGATCTTACCAAAAACCCGACTGCCTTGTAAGGCATCTCGTGTACCTGTTGGAGGTGGAAGGGCTGAGTTTTACTTTGTGCACAAAGACTTTAGTAATCCAGGAACAGATGGACTTAAGGTCTGTACTCCCAGTCAAACAGGAACACAACAGTTATTTTTGCTCATGCCTCAGACTCACACAAAGGCAGGTCATTCGGGTGCAGTTTTCAAAAAGAAGGCAGGAATCAGTTTCTCTGCAAAACATGCTGCAATGTGTAGCACCCAAACGTTCATAAATGAAACAATCTAATCCCAGAGAGGAAAACAGAAGAGGTATATAACTTAACACGGAGCACTGCAGCCCTGTCAAGGTTGAACTCAAGGTAAAAGTGGAGCTTGCTTTTTAAAGGCTGAAACAAATGTTAGAAATGAGGGGAAGAGGGTGCATGCTGGCAGTGTTGTGTTTTGAGAGCTGTCAGCATAGCAGTGTTTGGAAAATGGAGGATCTATTTGACAGGAGAACTGAATGACAGGCCCTCGGGTTTTAGTCTTCTGCCACTGCATGAGCTGGGTCTGTTGAGGCTCTGAGGACACTTTAATACAACATATCTAGTTGTTTCTCAGTTCCAATTCTGACACTTTGTCTGATGAGGTGGTTGTGAAGAGCACATTTTTTCACTAAACAACACAGCTGATGGTTTCATCATCTATCATTGGGGTAGACTGAACGCTTGCTTCATTGTACCACCAACATTTCATGTGGGTGTGGTGATGAAGTACTTTTTAGAACCACCAAGGTTATGGGTACATTTTAGACCATCTACTATCGGTAGCATAAAACCTTCGAAAGGTATTTTCAATGTCTTGTCGAACCAAGTTCTATCGCCATTGCCAAGAGTCTTTTAAAGACTTGGGTCTCATCTCGTCTTCTTCCACCTACCTGGATCTGGGTCGTGGGGGCAGCATCCCAACTAGGGAGTTCCAGACCATCCTCTCCCCGACCACCTCCACCAGCTCCTCCGGCAGGAGCCCAAGGCGTTCCTGGGCCAGTTCAGAGATATGTTGTCTCCAACGTGTCCTGGGTCGACCAAGGGGGCCTTCTGCCAGCAGGACATGCCTGTAACACCTCCCTTGGGAGGCGTACAGGAGGCATCCTAACAGGATGCCCAAACCACCTCAACTGATTCCCCTCGTTATATAGGAGCAGCGTCTCTACGAGTCTCTCTCAAATGTCCGAGCTCCTCACCCTATCCCCCGCGGAGAAAATTAATTTTGGCCGCTTGTATCCGCGATTTTGTTCTTTCGGTCGTTACCCAAAGCTCGTGACCATAGGTGAGGGCTGGGCGGTAGATCGACTGGTAAATGGAGAGCCTTGCTTTCCAGCTCAGCTCCTTCTTCACCACAACAGACCGGTTCAGCGTCCGCATCACTGCAGACACTGCCCCAATCGGCCTGTTGATCTCCTGCTCCCTCCTTCCCTCACTCATGAACAAGACCCCGAGATACTTGAACTACTCCACTTGAGGCAGGACCTCTCTCCAGACCCGGAGTTGGTATGCCATCCTTTTCCGGTCCATTTTCCATTGTTTTGTCAGAATTATGTTTAGGAATATTTTAATAGTTACCATATCAATCGCTGCCATTCCCAAGCCAGCTGGTGGTGCCCCGATCCAACAGCTGGACCAACTTTAGAAGTCCTGGTAGTCGTTGAGCTTTTTTGGGCACCCTGAAGTCTTCTTCACAAAAATTACCGTAATTTTCAGACTATAGAGCGCACCCCTATATAAGCCGCACCAAAAAAAAAAAAAAAAGGTTTTCTACACACACGCAGCACTCAAATACAAGCCGTGGTGCAGCAGCCACATGCAGGTCTCCGGCGCACAGCGCATGTATGGCCATAACATAAGATAATTAGACAAAAAGACGCTACAAGGAGGTTTTTCGTTGTTGTTATAATTCAACAAAACGAATTTTAAACACAGATGAACGTGCCTGCAAGTTTAGAAAACAGCACTGATAGCATTCATATTTCTGGATGGTTATAAAATAAAAACAGAACTGACACGTTATTACCGGTAATTTGCATGCATGTTTAGAAGAAAAGAACAGCGCTGACACAGCATTAATAAGCCCTGGATGATTAGAAAATAAGAACTGCACAGAAAACATGCCTGGTTAGTAAATAAAACACACTTGCCTACCAGAAAAAGTCATTCGCTCTCATCTTCCTCTTGCGCACTAAAGCCATTAAAGTCTTCTTCAGTGTCGGAGTTGAACAGCCTCAGAAGAGCTTCGTCACATAACTTTTCTGTGGCGATGTCAGTGTCGCTGTCCGTGTTGCTGTCATCATCCCCGGGTGAAGCTGGCTTGAATGATTTCTTCCCGCTGCCGTCTCCAGCGCCAAACCATGGATTCATTCATGCCAAGCTTACGTGCGGCAGCACTGTTTCCCTCCTTTACTGCCAGATCAATGGCCTTCAACTTAAATGCGGCAACATATGAACTCATAGTATTTACCATGATGAGGGGGTATGGATTTGAAAAAGATTCTTTGTCGTGCTGGCTGCTTGCATGTGCTAAATTAAAATGAGCACTTTCTTCGATTTCCACTTTTGACTTCCACCTGTTTCACTTTCTGCTAAAGCGCCCCCTGGCAAGTGAAGGAAAATCTTCAGTAAAGCCGCACCTCATTATAAGCTGCATGGTTCAAGCGTGGGAAAAAATGTAGCGGCTTATAGTCCGGAAAATATGGTATATCTGTTTTTTTATTCCTGATATCTCAATTTTGCTAACAACATGTGAAGTCTTCTGTTGAGAGAAATGAAGTCTGTGCATGTTTATATCAGGCGGTTGTAGCAGAAGAAGGCCTTTGCAAATAGTTATTTATCTAAAAATTCTTCACTGCATCCTGGAGTTTATGCAAACTGCCATGGCTCTCCTGTACTGCACTTTGGTTAGCTGCCATGCTATTTTTAAATGTGCTCTATAAATAAACTGGTCTGGTTTGGTATGGTGATAACAAAGGCAGAAAACCAGTGATGCACCAATATGAAATTTTGGGCCCGATACCGATATCCGATTTTAAGATAATTGTTATGGCCGATAACCGATATACTGACATTAATGCTTCTAAAATCAGCAGATTTTGTATAAAATTAAAATTATTAAAGCTGAATTTACATTATTATGTAAACAACACACTCATTTACAGTTCTGAGATGATTTCATTCACTGTGTCACATGACTAAACAATTACACCTCCCCCCCACCCCCTGAAACAGGCAAACAAATAGAGACGAGATGGAAAAAATAATGGTTGTTAATATCGGCCCGGTTTTATTTATCAAACCAATACAGATATGTTAAAAAAATGACTAACATCGGCCGATACAGATATTGATGCAGATATATTGTCCATCCCTATAGAAAACTTTGTGGTACTTATCTTTGTAGTCATTCTTAAAACATCCGGCTACAGCTGGGCTTTAGTCTTGTAAAATCTTCTCAAGCTCATTCCAAAGGTCCCCTTCAGCTTGATATTATCTCTGCTATCAGGAAACAAAATACTCTCAATTTCTTTTTGACATGGAGTCAAACAGTTGTAGTTAAATATCTTTAAAAATAAATAATGTATAACAGGAGTTAATCATTTATGACGTTACTGCTCAGGTGTGCTGTTGGGAAAACAGAAATTTTGAATGACAAGTAGAACTTTGTTTTTGTTCCAGCAACCACTTGGAGAAGAGCCTTCAGCTTCTGATGGACAGAGTGGATGACCTGAACCAAGAAATTGTCAAATATAACACCTACAGC